TACCGAATACTGTTTGTGTGAAAACGTTCTCCATCGAACAAAAATTTCGTTTGCCTTTCTATTTAAGAAATAGGTTCCTAATTAGAACGGTTCGGCTCACGGTTGAATTCATAGTCATCATCACTCACGAAAGAACCTCCCGAGATGCCCACTTTTGATTCATATGCTTTGTACATGGATCGATAGGCCTCAGTGAGGTAGTAAATACCAGGACTCGAAACAGGCCGACAATTTTGAGGCCGGGTCTGCCTGCGTAAGGTCTGTAATGTTTAGATCTGCCTGGGCCTGTCGAAATATTTCCTGGGTCTTGCCTGCCTGCCTGCCATTGCTCTCGGCCTAGCCTGGCCTAGTCTGTAGATGCTTGGTAATTTTTTTAATAAACAAAATGTACAAATAATAGTAACATAAGATGGAAAGAAAAGCGACAGATAACTAAACAATATATCTAAGTGAAAAAATTTGATTTTTGTTCAAGTATTTTCTGAACTGATCTAACTAATAAGATATCCTCAACCGTGTTAGGATTTAGTGATCTATTTCAGTCTAGTACATAGTTTCAAACTGTGCAACTCCCATATCATAACGACATCTACAGCCGAAATGCTACATTATGAATAAAAATACGCAAATTTCCTAGGCTAGGCCGCCTGGTGTTTTCAAAGGTCTGCCTGAATCTATTTCAGTCTAGGCCTGGTCTACCTTAGCCTGGTGCAGGCCGATAATTTGTGGCCTGGCCTGTCTGTAACAGGCAGGCAGGCTGCCTGGTCTGTTTCGAGCCCTGGTAAATACCCTAAAAGAATTCGAACCCATGACACTTGAAGACCCGGTTTTCTGGAAAACCAGTTTTTCAGAAACTCTGAAAAATAATCAAAACCTTTTCTTAATGAGGCATGATTGTGGTCTGTAAATTTCTGGCTAAAATAAGACGTCTCTCAGCTCTACACGACCTTTCTTTGCAAAGTTATAGAATTTACAAGAAAAGCTCTAAATGTTCATTGTCAGCTCAAAGCTACAGAAATAAGAAGAAATTAATTGAAGACTTTTCTTGTTAACTTTGCAAAGAAAGGGCGTGTAGAGCTGGGAGATGTCTCATTTTAATCAGAAATTTGCAGACCACGATCATGCCTCATTAAGAAAAGGTTTGGTTATTTTTTAAAGTTTCTGAAAAACTGGTTTTCCAGAAAATCGGATCTTCAAGAGTCATGGATCCGTGTACTTTTAGGGTATTTACTACCTCACTGAGGTGTATCGATTCATGCAAAAAGCATATGAATCGAAAGTGGGCATCTCGGAAGGTTTCCTCGTCAGTTATTTCTAGATCAAATTCAAAATGCTTCTACTTAAAGTCTTCTTTATGCTTTCTTTACTCAAAAATATCAATCTGGTAATGTTCCAGTCGAACACTGTGAAATAATTGATCAAAAGTTCAAACTTCGTTTATGTTCTATTAATAAATATTGTCTCTAAGAAGAAGAAAAGTCTGAGTTAAAATACGCACAACCATAGAGAGAAAATTTTGTTTTTTTATCTATTTAGTTATTGGTGAGAAAGTGGAACAGCGTTCTTTTTGCGTAGGTGGATTTCTATTTTATTATACATTAAAGAGAGAGAAAGGATATAGTGTGAGTGTATGATGGTGTGCCGTTTGTTTGGCTACTGTATTATGTGACATTTATATAGAAGATGGAAAAAGAATCTTTTTTTTGTTTATGACGGATAAAAATAGAGGATCTTATATTGATGTAAGGTTTGTTTTTTTCATTATAAGAAAGGTATGTTCTATTACAGAAATATTCTAAATATGTTACACCTTGGTTTACCACAAATAAAGTATGATACAAAGTATTCACGTATTTAATAAGTGCATCCTGAAGCTAATTGTTCTTCTAACGGTGAAATAACCACGAATCTATATCTCATTTCCCAGGTTAGAAGTTTGATGATATCAAAGTTCAAAGCTTCGACAGAAAAACATCACCAAAAAATGACCTTTTTCACTCCGATAGAGACGATATTTCTTGAACTTATTAAAAATCCTTATCGGCGATACTATTTATGAAAAGTTGATTTGTTCCATTTCTTTCGAGTTTATCACATTTAGAATATGGAAAATGTCTTTTTTTCTTTTACATTGATAATTATAGAAAATATAATTTTATTAGATATTCAACGTCGAAATTTCATTGAGTTATTACACAATCAGTCTTTATTTGCCTTTGTCAAAAAAAAAAAACGTAAAAATCGTCGTTTCCTTTTGTTCTTTATTTCGCCTAAAAATAATATAGTGAATAATAAGTAAAAAATAAAGAAAGAAGAAAAAAAAAATAGACGGGCGATACTAAAAACATTAATGATAATAAAGAAAATGTCTCTGTTGTTGATTCGTATTAAAAAGAAAAAAATGAAGTGATCGATGAGCAAAAGAGAAAAACAACGTATATGAAAGCGTCAGCCTTTCCCAAAAGAATACATAAACAAACTTGGATAGTGTAACGCATAGAAAGTTGAGTTGAAAAAGTAGGTGTGTATGTGTCTTTACTTATAATAATAAGATTGATTTTTTAATTTTCGGACTTACATAGACAGTATCAAATGTATAGGATAACAAAAATACAATAAAATTTTGAGATTTACCACTATTTTTTTGAAATATACGTTCGATTAAACGGATCATTATAAATGAAAGAAAATCGCATTTTTTGTCTTATTTTTTGAAAATTCTGAGAAAAGAAAACACAGAAATGTCCACCTGGAAATTCATCATTTAAAAACGACTTTATGCTCTTCAAAACCGGTAACAAAAATGTTCTCTTGCGTGAATTTTTTGAAATTTGACATGATTTCCGATGTTCTTTGTTGCATTAAGTCGATGTTTTCTTGATTATTATTATTTTCGGGTGTAGCGAGAGAGAGAGAGGGGGGGAGAAGAGAATAAAAATGCATGATGCATGTCAATATGCACAATGAGTGCATATTTCTTTCTCAAATTCTTTTTCCTTCATCTTCTAAGTAAAAAAATAAAATAAAAACAACAAGTTAGAGTAGGACATGGACAAAACGAAAAAAATTGTTCAAGGATGTTCCACTTCAGCTCAATATAAGATTACGACATAAGATAAGAGAGAAAACGTTTTCAAAAAAAAGAAAAAAAATTGTTTGATCAAGGCTATTTATTAATTCTAATAGTTATGTTGACCAAAATAATATTGAATAAGAGAAGTCAAACATTAAAAGAACGCAATAAAATTGTCAATGAAAAAAAAAAGAAAATTTGAATTGCATGTTGTATTTATACGTTTAAATTTAGAAAAAAAAAAAAGACGTTTTTCCTGCATGTATATCCGGTATTTTATAATACTTTCATGACTAGTTAGCTCTTTAATGAACAAAAGACGATCTATTAGTAGATGAAGACTATTTTCATTATTAAAAATCTTTTGTTATGACTTCATCCTACGCTAGATGATTCGAAGGTTTTGCGTTACAGTTCGGCAAAACCAATTTTATTATTATTATTTCTTTTTTTTTTATATTTAACTATACTCTATAATTAACTCAGTTTTGATTGAGAGTAAATCTTTCAAACGGGATTGAATATTTATTTTCAAGTATTTTTACCTGATTCATATGTAAGACTAAGATATGAAATAAATATGAAAAACTCCAGTTTCTATAGAGGCGTTGAAGTAGACACATCTTAATAAACAAAAAAAAAAAAAAAAGAAAAAGTATTTTTCCTTATTTTATGAAAAAAAAAAATTTGTTTTTTTCCAATCTCTTTTTCCGTCTAAAAACGAAAACTTTCGAATACAAGTACGTGCTCAGGAAATGTTTATTTAATAATTATACAAAGTGTCAAGGTTAAAAAAACTTAATTTATATTTTTATCATTTTTCTTTTATACGAGTAATTATTGAAATGTTTTATTTAATCATTAACCATATGTTATCATTTATCTTTAGTTTTCTAATGAAAACCGACTATTTGTCGTTTTTGGTGTCTATTAATATTTTGTTCTTTACGGAAGAAAATAGACTCGGCACGTTTTCTTTTCATTTCTTCTTTTTATTTCTGTAAATGATATACTTATTCTAAAAATGTACTCCTAATATACATATTTTTCTTTCTTTCTACATAGAAATCAACTTGTGTGGCTTCTACGAGTGAAACATTTGATAATAAGAAGGTAAGCAAAATTATTTCAAACGACAATAATAACAATAATCAAAAATATACACGATTGATAAACGACAAAGTCACTAATAAACAGACCATCTCTTTACACGTATTATCGTATGATAATTCAAAATATAATAAAGAACAAAGAGTATTTTTAAATAATACTGAGAATTCAACAGCAATTAATAATAATAATAATAATAATAATACTAATCATAAAATATTAGCATATACAACTAATGAATATACACAATCATCATTTATTAGTGAAGAACTACCATTATCAGCCACAGGATATCAGGTGTCAAAAAATGCGTTAGATATTTATAATAATAATCGAACATCAACAAGTCCATATTCACAACCGTTAAAATATATTCAAATTAAAAATTCATTTATTGTTTATTCCGCATTGCTCAGTGATTTATTACAAACATTCACACCTATTAATAGTAAATCTTCATTTTATTATCCACAACAAGAAAACAATTTAAAAAATATTGAAGAAGAAAATTTAACTATTACATTTAATAAAAACGTACAAATTAATAATATGCCATTAGCCATTAATTACAAAGATGATGTATCATTATTAGAACCAGAAATAACGGATCAAACAATCAATGATAACGTATGTATAGTTAATTTCTGTTAATAACTTTTCTTTTTAGTCTGAGAATGAATGTAGAGAGAATATATTTTTCTATTTCAAAGATAGATTGGATATTTAATATGATTGACATTGAGGCTGTCCTAATTAATAATAGAATAGAATTTTTTGTAATAAATCGACTAAATGATTAATAATCGCGAGTGATGCTATATTTCCCATGTAGTTTGTTTAGGTTTTTTTAATCAAAAAATGCGATAAACGAACATACCTCCCTCACTCTAAAGATAAAATTCTATCGTACGTTTCATTGATAAAAAAGCATATCTTAATAATTAGCCTGTTATCACGATAACACGTCAGCAATGAATTCTCTAGCGCAAACATGGCGACAAAACAACCAAAAAAACTACATGACTACAACTTTGACACTAACATCGTTTAGAATGTAAATAATTGAATTATAAATAAAATTTACGATATTTTTACAGTGTTGAACTGTAGTGTTCTTTAAACATCATTCCTGGATAATCTCATTAATCTAGTATATTCATTATACTATTTAATTTACATGAAATATAAGTTTCTCAATATATTTTTACGTTATTAATCAGTAAGTTAGAATACAAATGTTAGATCTTTAATAGAAAGAGAGAAAAATAAAAACAAAATATATGATGTTCAATGTGAATGATTAATCAAGTGTTTTTCTATTTTATTAAAAAAATCTCGAAGTGATAATACTTCAAATTTTTTTTTATCTAATTGAAAGTCTGTGTCCAACCAATTATGAGGACATTGTTCATACTCTTTGAATATTTAATAATTTGTTTTCTGTAAAAACGTGACTTTTAACGATAAACGAGATAGTTCTATTAAGAATTAATCTAAAAAGTGAGATCTTCACGTTAAAAAACATGTTTAATGGTAATATGATAGACTGATTCATTTCAATTTTCAAGAAAATATTATTACTATAATAAAAAAAATTTCTCTTCCTTTTGTTGTATTTACAAAAAGAGACATATTTATGATAGTATCTAAAATGATTCTAGCACGCCATACTCTTACATTTAACTAATAAAAAAAGAAAAAAAAAAATTAAAATTATCCAATGATTTGTTTAGTTATTTTAAAATCAATTGAACAAAATATCAATTAATTAATCTTTTTTTACATTATTATCTTACTGTTGTACTCTAACTAGATAGAAAAATTAATAAAGTGATCATTTTTTTTTTTTTCTACTCTAAAAGTTGTTCATCATATTTTTACATGTCAGTTTTTATCTATTTCTAAATGAAAATTCAATTCATGATAGAACATCACTAGTTTTTAATTTTTAAAAAGACAAAACGTTTTTATTTTTATTTTTTCATTTTAGGACAAAAATGGAATATCTGTTATGGCAGATGATGAATTACCATCTGATGTAAATAATGTAAGTATATTGTATCTATTGTCTATTAGTGTTCGTCCATTCTATCAGTATTCTCTCATAAATCTTGTAGAAAACAATAATTAGCAGTATTCACAGCAGCAGTTACGATAATATTAATACGGTAAAATTACTGCTCATTTCGTCTGCTCTCTCTCTCTCTCTAGGTGTTCGTACTATTAAGACTATCCAGTATTGACAATTTCATTGTGATCGTTTAATTTTGCTTGCATATATATATATATATAATTGCTTGTTGGGAATTTTTAATCGTGGGCATATGCTTCATATTTTTGTTTTACTTTAATGAAAAAATTTTAAAGTAATCATATTATCGATTATGACGTTGTTTTTTGTATCTGTTGATCATTTATAATAATCTTTCATGAGATTTGATATAAAATTATAATAATAAATAAATAGATTATTCTATTGTCGAATAGAAATCAACAGTATATAATTAATGATTTATATGATAGATTTCAAACAAGTATGGTGAAATATAGAGTTCAGATGATCAAATGATGATAGACAATACTCTTTGAAAAAGTATCAATTTTAACCAGAAATAAGTCATTTCTGCCTTATTATTATAATATTAATTTCTACAACATGTTCTTATAACAATAGGCATCTTATTCAAACAGAAAGTGTAATAGTTTCTATGTTTTGATTGAAAATTTTATTGTCAAAAATTATACGCTTCTCCTTTTTAATCAGAAAGAGTCGACATCTTTTGGACTCCAAATTAGAATATTTATCGTCAATGAACGCGTCGGTTGTTTGTTTTATTTTCTAATACAAAATGATTGTCTCTCTCTCTATACTTCTTTATTCTTGTTTCTATAGTATCTTCAATATTTATTATTTATTATTGTGTGATATAAGCATGTTTCGCTTACTTTAATATCGTAACAAAAATTGTTTAGAATCATTTAGTTACAGTCATATTTTGAAAACATTGTTAAATGTGAAAAAAATTGTACACGTCAGACGTATTTTCAACTCATAGAATATTTTTGCAGTTAAATGAATATCGCAAGAACAAGACTTTTTTTTAATTTCATCAAAAGTAAATATGTTCTTAAAACAAAAAAAAAAAGAAAAAGAAAAAAAAAAAGAATGTACTGTAATACCTATTACTAAAGGTTGTTGTTTTTCGTGACATTCTCGAACAAAAATAAATGACTATATCCGGTTTCCAAGAACGTAAGGATCGCCAATATCATCAGAAATAATATAATGACTATCATGAGTTTCTGTTTGATATCATATACAGTACACTGTTTCATTTATCTACCTTATGTTACTCATAAGAATATTTTTACTTCTTTATTATATTAATTTAAACAGCATAAAACACAGTATCTATGGATTATTTACCATAATGAACATTTTTATATTATTAACGTATGGGGGTCTTACCCAATACATTAATTTCTCATTTTTAACGATTGTTGCCTAAAAACATGTGAACAATATAATATAGTGTAATATGAAGTGGATATAAAGTAATCTTCTACTTTCTGTCCAATTTTTTTGTCATGACATCATCAGCGAATATTCTTCTTGTTTGTGTCAATTCTTTTCCTTGTTTCTTCTATTTTTTTTCTTTTTCTTCTTCTTCTTATAATAATCATAATCAAAAGAAAAAGAGATTTCGTTCTCTTTCGTCAGTATAAATTATATATACCCCCTCAATTTCTTTGATTTTGTTGCTTCTTTTTACCATTTTTATTGTATATGTTTTTCCATTTACTTGCATTATATTATGATTATGAGTGCTTGTTATACACTTTATTATTATATACGAATCATTTTAATATTCATTTCTTTCGTTTATCAAACACGAATTTCATCATAGAAATTAGTCATTTTATCTCTTAATAGTATGAGAAGTTTATTCAATAATATTGATATAATGGTTGAACAAATGAACGAAAATGTTAATGTTAATAATGAACAAAATATTAATAATATAAATATGAATATTATCGATACTGCAAGTGAATTACCGGTAATTGATTATCATAAACATCGTTTTTATTTATATTCATATGAGGATCAAACAACAACTCCTTCAAGTTGTTCATCAATGAATGATCGAAATAAATCAATTGAATCATTATCATTTCATACTATACAATCTTTTAATGATGATAATCAACAACAACAAAAGCAACATGGATTTTTTGCCATATTAAAACAATTACAGTGTTTAACGTTAAAACGAAAAAAAAGTCGTCATAAGTCTCATAGTCATATTACATTTTCAATATTAAATAAACTTTTCAAAAGACAAACACCAGAGCAATATTATAATTTTAAAAAATCACATTCTAGTCCACAAGTTTATTTTTCTACAAATGATAATAAACTATCGAAAAAAGTATCAAGTTTAAATACGTTCAATTCGACTAGGATTAATAATAATAATAATAATAATAATAATACTAATCATATGTCCGATAAAACGGTCAGTGAAGATAATAATACGAATACACTATCATCAATTGAATTAAATAATAAAAACAACGAATATATACAACAAATTCCAACTGATAATTGTATACTATCACATTCATCCTCAATGTCTCATACACATGTAAGTAATCATTTTTATCATCTTACACTAAATATTAGTATAAAATATGATAACTAACATATTTTATTATGTTTCTAATATCTTTCAAGTCTTTCTGAACCATTATGATTGTTTTTTATTAAAAATAATCATTTATAGAAAAAAGACATTCTGATCAGTGTGTAAAAGACAAGAAGCATGTGAAACACCTGTAGTTCATTCAGGATGAATCCGGATATTTTCTGTGAAAAACTTGCTTTATCTATAAGTACATAGATAATACACTGGTGAGATTGTCGCCGTCTAGAACAGTTTTATTCGATAAAAAGCCATTGACAGGAAGAAAATTTTTAAAAAAACATCCGGTTTAATGTTGTTTTCATATCAACAAAAACATAAAGTAAAGTGCTGTAAAGTGTTGTTTTTTAAGTGTGTCCTTCAATTAAGCAACATTCATAAGAAAGTTTATTGTCTAGGTTGAATAACGTATGTTTTTTTTTTTGTTTTTTGTTTCTTCATCTGTTATGGGTATTGATAAGAACGTAATGAAAATATTTTTTCTGTTAATTTTTTCAATTAAGGCAATGTGTTTGTTAAAACAAGCTTGTTTTAGTCGTGCAATATTCGAAAGAAAAATTCTCCTTGAAATAGTTTTTGTTTAAAACTACAATATTTCTGAACTTAACCACTGTAAAAAACATGAGCACATGATGTAACATTAGTCCATTATTGAATGTCTTGTATTTTTAAATGAGAATATACAGTTTGAATTAGGTCAAAACGCTTTTAGTAGATAAATTGCTTCTTTTCAGAAGTTTGAAATTTAACCCTTTCCAACCAGCTGTTTCTAAACAAACACAGTAAAACATGTTGACAACACGTTGGCAACATCAGGCTGAAAAGGGTTAATCTGACAATCTAGAAGACTATATAAAATATGAATGGAAATTTTTGTTTATGATAAAGATACGATCGCTAAGAGCAGAAATGTATTCTAATTATATTGAATTTTTGATGAATTATTGAGAAGTTTTCAGGCATGAAGATGTTGACACTTTTTGTCTTTTAAAGATTCTGATAGTGTTACCAGAGATATGTCTCTTTGCATGTCAAAACTTCTTAATTTATTATAATTGAGTTAATTAATTCCTCGTTCATATTAGTCATGGCATGAGTACTGTCCCATAAATTCTCACATATATACAAAAAAAAAAATAAAAACAATTTATTACAAAAAATAATTTTTTTTTTTTTTTTTGTTTTCTCTATTCCATTTTATATTTCTATTACACGCTGCTCGTCTTCGATCATATTTCTTTCTTCTATATACATTTTGTTTTTTACTTTTTTTTATAACTGACAAAACGCCCACATAGTCCTTATTATATACACTTTTATTATACATATCTCTCGCTGTCAATAAAGAGACAACTGAATATGCTATGCCGCCCACATAATAAAATTTAAAAACGTGTTACTGATATCTATGAGAGAAGAATCAGCAAACAAGTTAGTACATCAATCGAAGTGCACTTAGTTCTTTTGTGTAATAAAATGAAACATGTTGAAACAATGATACACTTTTCTCAAGAATATCCTTGAACTATGATAGTACCGTAAAAATACTTGAATAATCGACTATTAGTTAATAAAAGTTATATATTTGTTTTGTTTTATATTTAATTATGTGCCATATAGACCTAATTTGCAACAAAATGACCTTGTATAATTTTCTCATATTTTTTTATTGTGCAACCTTGAAAAAAGAGAAGAAGAAAAATATTGTGCATCTTATATAATACGTTTAATATCAAATTTAAAAAATGTGTCGCCAAAAAAATATGTTGTCATTAACATATGCACATCGTCAAAAAAAAATTGACCCTGAAAAAAACGTAAAATATTTCGTGACCAACAGAATAGATTAGATAGATCATCTCTTATTTTATGATCATTTTGAGTCATGGATTTAATCTTCTTCATGTCAATAAAATGTGTCCTTTCCATGACATTCGAATAATTTGTTTGTAGATAGACCTGTTAATCGTCTAATTATTAAGTTAAGTTGTCTATTCGAAAAAATTTAAATACAAGTGGGTGAATTTTAGTTACCAATATAAATTCACAGTTTAGACATGTTTAAACATTAGATGATCGTCTCTTCTTTATTTTCAATTGTTAATTTATCTCTATTATTGTTACCTTTGAACATTGTCTAGATGACAAGATAATTGTAAATAATTTCTTACATAAAGAAGGAAACAAAAAAATCTTTTTCTTTTTTTTTAACATGTCAATCAAATAAATAAAAGGTATAAATAGTAAATCAAATTACCTGAATTTAATATTTTTGTTTTTTCTTACTTTATGTCTACTAAATGTTTAATACTTCTGCTTTTTTATTGAAAATATATAATTTATTGCTGTTTTCAATGTTTAACTTTGTTATCTTAGATTAATTATGAATAGGATTTAAATTTAATTCTAAATTATCAAAATTGAATTATTTCTCTAAGCATACTACAAATGCATCTCAAACAGGTGAGAGAATTAGTAGACAGACAATTTTAAAATTAAACGTTCTTGATTAGAATTCATAGGATATTAAATTTTAGCTATAAAATTATATAAGTTTACAAGAAAAAAGAAAAAAAGAAGAAAAAAAAAAAAACTTAAAATAAAAATGTCTACTCTTTTCTTATCAATATAAAATTATTTATTATCTCTGACATTGAACTTTTGTTATTATTGTTAAAATGAAGATCAAGGATTTGAATGTATATGAATTCTTCTTATTCTTGTTCAATATAATCGTGTTCTTTTTCTTCTTCTTTCTATCTATCATCATGATCATGTAAAGACTCTTCGATCTATTCGTTTACTTTTGTGTATGTGTATGATTTGTAGTTGATAATGCAGAATAATCTTTCTTTTTTTTTTTTAACGTCTACTTGACTGAATTTAACCTAAATGCTAAAACGATCTTTCTCACTAATCTCTTCTTGGATAATAATGAAGAAAAAAAAAAAAATGTTACGTTTATTCATCGGATCTTACACAACACATTAGAACCTTCTGATTCTGAAAAAATCATGTTTATTGTAGCAATTATTCGTGTGAATGTCAAATGAGTTGATAAATACGTTAATAATTGGTAAATATATATCGACACTTGTATCTGAAGTATCGTCATTTTCTCTATTATATTATTTATTCTATGACAACGGGTGTTGAAAATCCTTTTCACTATTCATTTTCTCATTAATATCACCTGACTGTTCTATTTCTTTTCCTCTAATATTCTGTATTTTTCTTCTACAGTCTCTGTCTTCTACATAATACATATATGGCATAATGATATGGAGATGTAAATGATATACAGCAGACAAATAAAACCCGAAACAGTAGGTGTTTGTGTGAAATAAACTAAAAAATCAAAAATCAAAAACCAAAAAATAAAAAATAAAAAACCAAAAAAATCAAAAATAAAAAACCAGAAAATAAAAAATAAAAAACCAAAAAAACACAAAACAAATGAGATACAATTGAAATATAGATAATAATCTTTCCACAAGTACTTTTAATGGCTCATCTTCTTTTCTTTTGTATGATCAAAAATCAAAAATCAAAAATAGAAAAATGATTCTAAATATTTTCACATCAACAAGTACTTTGAATGTGAGAATATGATTTATGATAAAATATAATTTTTTTTAAAAAAGAACTAATAATTTTTTATTTTTCTTCTCTTCTCTATATACAGGATGAATACTCAACTATCGAACATGAAATTGAAATTACAAATATTACAAAAGAAGGATGTGAAAAAGGTCATCGAGATCAATTTGATTTTCTTATGGTGCTTGGTGCCGGGTCATTTGGAAAAGTAAGTAGTTTATATATTTTTATTATAAAAAATTTTATACATAAAATATTGTTTTTTTCCTATAGGTATTTTTGGTACGAAAAAATCTTGGACCCGATCAGGGTACTCTATATGCAATGAAAGTATTGAAAAAAGCCAGTCTTAAAGGTAATATACTAGAGTCATATTTTTTATCATTTTTTATTTTATGTATACTCATTTTTTGTTTAGTTCGTGATCGTCAAAGAACAAAAATGGAACGTGATATTCTTGCTCAAATTCATCATCCATTTATAGTTAAATTACATTATGGTAAGTTAGTTTTAATTTTTTTACTATTTAAAAATAAATTATATTAAATATAATTGTTATTTAGCATTTCAAACAGAAGGAAAAGTATATTTGGTGTTAGATTTTTTACGTGGTGGTGATTTATTTACTCGATTATCTAAAGAAGGTTAGTCATTTCTTAATAAATGATGAAAATCTATAAAATATCTTTCATTACAGTGATGTTTACTGAACGTGATGTGCAATTTTATCTAGCTGAATTAGCAATGGCTTTAGATCATCTACATGGTTTGGGCATTATTTATCGAGATTTAAAACCGGAAAAGTATGTTGAAATTTAGAGATATTGGATGATGATAAAAGAGGTCAACTTTTTTATAACTTCATATATTTTTGTTTTCAGTATACTACTCGATAGTGAAGGTCATATTGCCTTAACAGATTTTGGCCTCAGTAAAGAATCGATTCATTCTGAAGATGCAAAAACTTATTCATTTTGTGGAACAGTAGAATATATGGGACCAGAAGTTGTAAGCAGAAAAGGACATTCCTACATAGCCGATTGGTGGAGTTTTGGTGTACTAGCTGTAAGTATGAATTATTAGTTTTTTTCTTTATATTTTAATATCATACATTTATTATTATTTATTAGTTTGAAATGTTAACCGGTCATCTACCATTCCATGGATCTAATCGAAAAGACACAATGAATTTAATACTAAAGTGAGTTATACATACATTTTTATCACTAATGATTAGTTATATGACATCTTTTTCATCTATAGAGCAAAATTAGCTATGCCTCAATATCTTAGTCCAGAAGCTCAAAGTTTACTACGGTCACTATTTAAACGTAATCCTGTTAATCGTCTTGGTGCTGGTGTTGATGGTTTTGACAATATAAAAAAACATCCATTTTTTGAAACAATTGATTGGATTGCGTTATTTGAAAAACGAATTGAACCACCATTTATTCCACCAATTCATAGTGATTTTGCACATCATTTCGATAAAGAATTTACAAGTAAAACACCCACAGGTAAAAAACGTTTATATTTAGAGCATTTTCATCAGAGGCGAAGAAACTACCCGTGAGTTTGAAAATTTTCCACGAACGGGAAATGTTTTGAAAAATGTCCACATTTGAAATTGAGAAACGGCTTTTATTGGTTTATTTCTTATTATTCGAAAATTTCTTAAATCTTCTTATAAGGAAACCTCCCCAACTATCTCCTCGCTTTTTTAACGAAACATAGTAGGTTATAGGTAATTCCTTTTTCCTTTTTCTGTAGCTCTGAGTTGACAATGAACATTTAGGGCTTTTTTTGTAAATTCTATACTTTGCAAAGAAACATCGTGTAGAGCTGGAAGATGTCTCATTTTGATCAGAAATTCGCGGACTACAATCATGACTTATTTAGAAACAGTTTTGAGGATTTTTCGAGGTTTTTGGAAAACTGGTTTTCTAGAAATCGACTAGGAAAGGCCTATGCGAAAAAATGGCTATCATATTCGGAATCAGCATGATCGATTACTTATAACCTACTACATTTCATTAAAAAAACGAGGGGGCAGTTGGCGAGGTTTCCTCGTTAGGTGGAACAATTCCACATTTTTTCCGCTGGAAAATTTTTCAAAAATTTCCACAGGTTTCAAAACTTTTCCACGTACGCCTGTGCGCGCACATGGATAGATTCTGTACCTCTGATTTTCACATGTCTCTAAATATTTCTCCTTTATTTTGTTCTTGTTTTTGTTAGATTCTCCGGGTGTTCCACCATCAGCTGATGCTCATCGATCATTCGCAGGTTTTAGCTATATTGCTCCCGAATTAACTGAACAACGAATCAATGATCCTGTTTATAGCGATGAAGTTGAAAAAAGATTAAGAAATATACCAGGAATGAAATTCCACTTATTTACTCAAGATTTTGAAATAAAAGAACAAATTGGTCAAGGACAATTTGCCGTATGTCATCGTTGTCTACATCGTTTAACAAGCGCTGAATATGCCGTTAAAATAATTTCCGATTGTTCGACAAATGATCCAACTGATGAAATTCAAATATTATTAAATTATACTAATTTATCAAACATAATTAGAGTATGTTATCTCATTAATTTTATCAAGAATTATTCAATACGCTATTTTTCAAATTTTTTGTTTTATTTAATAGATTCGTGATATTTTTTTTAATCCACCAAAAGTATATATCGTCACAGATTTAATGCGTGGTGGCGAATTAGTTGATAAAATCTTTCAGGAAAAATCATTATCAGAAAAAGAAAGTGCAAGAATTATGCTTATTATTGTTAAAACTGTTGAAACTTTACATCATAATTCCATTGGTAAATTTAGAAATTTTGTTTGATCAATTCAATATATTTTTCTTCAACTTAATTATTATTATTATTATTATTCGTTTTCTTTTTTTTTGAGAATAGTTCATCGTGATTTACAACCAAGAAATATTATGTATAGTGATCAATCAAGACATCCAAAAACGTTGAAAATTGTTGATTTTGGTTTTGCTAAACAATTACGTGCAGAAAATGGTCTATTAATGACACCATGTTTTACAAAAGAATTTGCCGCACCAGAAGTATTACAAAGAAAAAAATATGATGAATCATGTGATATATGTAAATGATTTATACTAAATAATATTATTCGAATACTTTATTAAATTGTATATTTCAGGGAGTTTGGGTATATTACTATATACAATGTTATCTGGAACAACACCTTTTGCTTTTGATCGAAACGATACTCCTGATTTAATATTGCATCGTATTACAAATGCAAAATTATCTTTTAAAGGACCACATTGGGATAAAGTATCACCGAATGCAAAAGTAAGACATTACAAAAAATTTAAAATGTTTTATTTTATTTTAATTTAATCATGATTTTTTGTTTATAGACTCTAGTATCGTCCATGCTTGATATCGATCCGAGAAAAAGGCCAACAGCCCGTGATATATTAAATCACAGCTGGCTCTCCAATTTGGACAGATTACCGGATCAAAAATTAACCATACAAGATTGCAATATTGTGCGGGTAAGACCAAAAAACTACTATTTCTTGTAAATACAGTTCTGCTCAGAATTATAAGAATGATGAGAAGTTTCAACTTTTTCGTTCGTTTTTTATTCTTACTACTACTGGTTCTCAGACAGAGAGAAATACATGACTAGATGCAGAAAAGTGTGCTCTATTCTTTGATCAAAATTATAAGAACGATTTTACATCCTTGTACAAAACAATAAAAATAGAATTCAATATTTTGCTGATGTTCCTCCTTTAATCCCAATATATGATTGCAAACGACGAGGCATCGATTCAACTAACTTTTAACATGTTGTTGGATCGATTTCAGACAAAATTTTATGTATTAGTTGTTCAAGATGTTGGATATTGATTGATTATAGTTTAATTAATTTTCGATGGGATTAAGGTTAGGTGATGTTGCTGATTACTCCGGAATCTTTATCTCTTTGTTTTCAACTACGCCATACTAAGTTTACTTTTATGACAGAGTATATTATCTTCTGAATATCTTCTTCGCAAATACCGGTAAACTTTGATTAATAATATCAATATATCGTGATCCCTTCACCCGTCATTTATACAATAACCAAAAGATCAACTTCGGAGGCTGTCATGCAACCTCAGACACTTACGCACCCACCACCACCTTGTATACGTGTATATTGAAAGTCGACGACCATAGGATCGATTTTTCCTGTTCAAAACTTCAAAATATGATTTATTATTAAATACAACTTGTTTCCAGTCGTTCAAATTAAAAAAAATGTTCTTCTAAAAAACAAGAAGATACCAAAATTGTCTCTATAATTTTGATCAGTGAAAAGATTTTTGTAAAAAAAGATTTTTTAAGAAAATGAAAGTGATAAAACTTTTTCAGTGACATATTCGGATAGAGCACAGTTTTCTGCGTCTAGTACTTCTCTCTGTCAGAGAAACAGTAGTAAGAATAGAAAAAACGAACGAGAAGTTGAAATTTCTCATCATCCCTATAATTCTGAGTAGAACTGTATTCTGATATGTTTAAAAGCATTTTTTTGTCTTGGCTTTTCCATGTGTATTGAATAGAATAATTTTTGACTTCAAAATTGTTTCAGTGAGTGGTCTGAATGTCTTTCTCAATTTTTTCTGAGACATTATATTCATTGTATCATGTGTGATTGCCGATAATTTATTGTCTATTTTTCATTTTAGCACAATTTAGAAGTCACGTTTCATGCGATTAATACCAGTCCGAATAAATCAGTCACACTTGGGCCAATTGACGGTTCAGGCTTATTTAAACGTCGTACACAACGGATGACACAGCAAGCAGAAAAAGTGAAATAAATTTTCATCTGTTTATTTTTTTACACTGATATACGTGTATCTTTGTTTTCTTATCAAAGTAACATCGTGTTATTATGAGCCGTGTGATCTATTGTTGTTGCTTTTTATCTATTTATTTTTTTTGACTACGATTGTCATTTTAAAGACGTTATGTTTTATCTTGTAAACTATTTTCGAGATATTTTGTATTTTTCTGTTTTCAAAAGAATTTGTCTATGAACAGTTCCCACAAACGAAAGTCATTTTTCTCATGTCTTGTCTTCTCAAAAAGAGACTTCTATTATTTTTTGTATGTGTTTGTGTTCGATCGATGACGATATTGAAAAGAAAGATGCGATTTGTTTTTATTTTTTGTTGTTGTTTATTCGTTTTTATTTATTTATTTCTCTTGGTTTTTTCTTACATGATTGTCGCTCTTTTGTCCGTAAATCTTAAGACTTGTTTTCTGAACTGCTTTTGTTTTATTATTTATTGCTTTGTTCTTTTTCCAGTATAAAATCAGTGATAAAAGAAGAAACAGTGAAATAAACAAAAAGAAGTTTATATATAAAATTTGCACTTTTTTTGTATTCTGATGAAAAATGGTGAGGACAAATGACGGATCGTTCACTCCGTGTCATACTCTTCTAAGAAACTATATTTGAAATTGTCAATTCTATTATATATGATGGACTCAACTTTACCAAAAATTGACTATTTTTGATGTATTTATGACCATCGTCGGAATCAATAATGTTCAATTATCAAAAGTTAAATAACAATGAGCAGAGAAGTTATTTCTGTGAAATATTTCGAGTTTATAAAGAAAAAAAGTTGTAATAGTACGGAAAAGATGAACACGTTTTTGGTTGTCAGTGCTTCTGTACGATACGTATTTTTGTTTTTTTTAAAAAGAACCATATGATCAGAGCGCTTGTAAAGTGAAGTTTTGATTGAAGATCATTGTTTCATTTTCAAGATTTAGGTTATTGGGTCCGCGTCTTTTTTGTATCAAAATGTATAGTGACATAGTAGTACATTTACGATACGTCATATTGGAATAAAAATTTGAAGTTCCGAAAAAGCTCAATTTTTTATAGAAATAATTTTTAGGACATTTTTGGTAGATAAGAGAAAGTTTCAAGTAAAACAAAGCAATAATTATGTGTTGAGAAAAGAACAGGTGAACTAAAAGCGTCTGGTCAGTGGTAATGTTAACATTAGGGAAACCTTCATTTGATCAGATTATTGAAATAATCATTTGAGTGGAGTCTTCAT